CAACTAATATGAAGGGATCTCTATGAAAGTTTTTTTTTTGCGGTAAAATTTTGTGTTCAGATGAACCAAAGAGTTACAAGACATCTCATTTTTAGAGCTTTTTGACAGAAAAAAGTTTTATAATCTATTATAATAGAATATAAGAGATTCTAAGAGATTTTCGGAAAAATTATTTTCAATTATAACTGATTATAATTCATTATAATGTCACGAAAATGTTATCATTATAAGGGATGATATTTCATTTAAGCATCTAAAATGTAGTTTTGCTAAAAGTACGTTATAATTGTAATATAATTGATTATTTCCGCTTTTTACTCAGTGCGGGTGCAAAACATGCATTTTGTCCTTAGCGTGGAGTTCACTTTTTAATCCGTTTTATCAAATGTTTTGAAACATCCATACGCTTTTGGAGCATTTATCACCTTGACTTGATATGAGAAGTCCTGTTAGAATAAAGTTTTTGCTGTTCTGTTGGAGCAACTCAGTTTTTTTTTAAGTTTGAAGGGCCAAAAAACCACTTAAGCTGAAATTTCCCCTTGATATGGACTTTGGACAATTTAAATCGTCAAATCATTAGCAAGCACACTTCATTTCTTGCTTTCTAATGAGACAATTTGTAGCATTTTTAAACTCGACTGGTTCCCCAGGCGATATCAAAAAAGTGTCTTTCTTGATAAGCATCTTCCATTGTAATAAGTTAGAAAAAAACATGAACAAAGAGTCGAATCAGACAAAATTTCAATTATAATTTAGATCTGATTCTTCAGACAACAGATCTTCTAGACAATTTCGTTATTGACCACGAGAGCAGAAGTTTTTGAATTTTAGGAAACAATTATTGTTAAGACTAAATAAAGTGCCAAAATGATGAAAGAAATTTCGCAGCGAGTGACGATACAGGTTAAGTTGAAAGGATTCTAATGATCTCTTTAAAACTAATTTGCCAACCATCGTTAGTTTGCGATGTTTTTTTCGTGCTTGTTATCGGAGTGGGAGGGAAGTTTTGCGCAAGAGAATTTGGTTCCGTCCAATTTTCTGTACTTCAAAACAGGTGATTAAAATTAATAAAATGTTTTCGTCATCCATATTACTTCACATTTTTCATTCGAGATCTCCAATGCTGTAAACAATTACTTGTTTGGCCCGAATAAATTGAAAAGGTGTACGACAGTTTTTATATTGGTATGGTAGCAATAAAATCACACACAGCCAAAAATCTAAAAGAAATTGGGCGGAAAGCACGTCTTAATTTAATGTGCTGTTGAAACGTAAGACAACTCATCAAAGGAAAAATGAAAAACTAATTGGAAGAAAAAACTAGCTTCGAGGCGCATGAAAATAGGTCGCAAAGTTCCACAGCGCTCTCGCAATTAGATTCATTTTGTTAAAAAATGTTCCTAATTTTACTTTGATTGGTTATCTAAATTGCTAACAAATCCCGGGTCGACCAAAATGTGCAACCATACGTTGCACCATGCATGGTTCCTTGGAAACTATGAAAAATTGCCGACGTAATTTTATGTTAAAATAAAACATTTTCCATGCATGACGCGACGTATGGTTGCACATTTTTTTTATTATGGGGGACTTCAAATGAGACAATTTGATACTTTTACCGGGGCTGTTGAGAAATGATATGTTACCATGGATGCTTGCAATGTATGGTTACTATGGTATCATGCATGGCGCGACGTATGGATACCATGAAAACATATGGCGCGACGTATGGTTACCATGGAAACATATATGGCGCGACGTATGGTTATCAAACAACCATACTTGGCGCGACATACAAAAACTGAATAATCAAATAAATTCAATATTCTCATGGGTTTATATTTCGTGAGTTTTATTTTTTAACTCGTTTCAAGATGTGCCAAATGAAGATTTGCTCCGGAATGAAAATTTAAAAAAAAATCGAAAAAAAATATATTTTTCACCAATCACGCATTTTTTTGTCCAAAAGTATGATCTTACTTACCCCCTCAAAATTTGAAAATGCAAATAAACCCCGATATTTACAAAATTTTGTCAATACTGTTTGTGTTGATGCATGGCATGCTCTATTAAAGTTGTTTTTGTATGGAAACATCGTTTCCATAAATAGCACCATTATGGTGCGACGTATGGTTTGCATGGTGAAAAAAATCAAAAATCTAATAAAAGCGTATCGTGTACTAAAGATACATTTTCTCAGTAATTTTTGTCAATTAACTTCTATTTTCATGGTTTTCCAGAGAAAAAAAAATGTGAAAAATCTCTTCCATACGTAAAAAGCTATTTTGAGGGTTTTTAAAACAAACGTATGTGCCACGCATGATTAGTCATTTTCCATAAAAATTATGCTTGGATGTGTATGGTTGCGCATTATCATATGTGAAGTTTGTTTCATTTTTACGTAGTCGCTCACACGTTGTTTTGATAACAACATGAATTATTTCGCAAACAGTAACGTATGAATAAGATCAAATAGTTTATTGCTAGTCCATTTGGTTTATTTCAATGCTGGCTTATACCAAATTTACCGTCTAAAAGAACGAATAAATCACGCGTAAGCAAAATTAGCCAATCTTGCCTTTTTCTCACTCATATAACAGTACAAAAAATCTCACTCACAAATTCAAATTCAAAAAAATAACAGGACTGACCGTACCAAGACAAAACCCTGAATCTTGAAAATTCCGACGGTTCATTAGTGTTAATTAAAAAAACTAAGGTTGAAAAAATTGATTAAATAAAAATTTGTGAAATTCAGTTTTGTCACTCACACCTTATGTCCAAACATAGGGCACTTTAGCCGTCAGTAAGCAACTTATCAGAACAATTTCCGCGCCCAATTGACTCTGTAAAAAAAAACTAGTTGGCCACTTACGAATTAAAGGCAGAGATAGTGCTACAATTAAGTTTTAAAGTTGACCAAGATAACAAAAGTTTTAAATTGCATAAACATTGCATTCGAAACTTAATTTTTAATGTCACTGCGGAAAACAAAATATATTGCCTTAGGCCACATTATTAGATTCAGTTAGTTTTTCTCTTAACCCAAACTGGATAATTTTTTTAAACCTGCGCCACGCGTTTGGACGAAATTGGAAATTTTTTTCAGAGCTTCGAAATTTGCCAAATCGTTTTTTTTTCAAAGCACCCTTTTGCGCACTTGATATATACAATTTTCAAAGGAACAACAAAAAAACCCTGAGCTTAAGTGAAAATAGTTTCAAAATAATATTTTTAAATGATTCTTAGCTTCAAAATAAAACTTGGTTTCGAAACACATCTTTTGAAAACTGTGCAGTAATGAATTTAAATCAATTTTGAGTTTGCATTATTGAAAGTGAAAAAAAATAGTTAAGCTCTGACTTGATACATAACCTGAAAAAATTTGTTACCCGGAGCTCAAACATAGTAAACTTCCCCAGTGATTATTAGGTAACATGATGGGGTTTAAAGTAGACAATTTGGGACTATTAATGTGCAGTTATTTTTTTTTACAACTAAGCTTGGGGATATTTTTTTCAATCAATCAATTTGTGGCAGAAATTGGACAAAAATTGCCTGCAACTAGGCGTTTTTTGATGAAAACTGCCTACATATTACACTGCTAAAATGGACAATTTGGGATAATTAATGCGCAATATTTTTCTTTTTTTTCAACTAAACTTGGGGTTGTTTTTTTTTTCAATCAATTATTATTTGGCAGAAACTGGACGGAAATTGACTGCAACTAGGCGTTTTTGATGAAAATTGCCCACATGATACATTGCTAAATTGGACAGTTTGGGATAATTAAGGCACAACATATTTGTTTTTTTTTACAACAAAACTTGGGGTTGTCTTTTTCAATCAATCAATTTTTAGCAGATGAAGACGAAGTTAAAATGGACAATTTGAGATAATTAATGCGCAATTTCTTTCTTTTTTTTTTAAACTAAGATTGGGTTTTTTTTTCAATCAATCAGTTTTTGGCAGAAATTGGACGGAAATTGCTTACAACTAGGCGTTTTTTGATGAAAATTGCCTATATGATACATTGCTAAAATGGACAATTTGGGATAATTTTGGCGCAATGTTTTGCGTTTTTTTCACAACTAAGCTTGGGGTTATATTTTCAATCAATCAATTTTTGGCAGAAACTGCACGGAAATTGCATGCAACTAGGCGTTTTTTTATTAAAAGTTTCTAGATTGCGTTAATATACCACGTGTGAGCGGCGGAATAGAACGTTCCAAATTGAATTGGGGCAAATCCATCGTCTAATTATTACGATACGAGTTGCTAAATATATCCCCTTGTACTTGAATAGCGTGCGGGGGACAAAGTGAAAAAAAACTTTTCCTGGATTATTCCATCATTTTTCAACCATTTTTCAATTGGTCTTTAAGATCAGGCGGATCATTCTGGACTTCGCTTTGATCAGCAAGCAGCCTTAGTGATAGGTTGAATGTAATTCAGTTCGTTTGGCTTCCTTCATATTTCGATTATTCGTTTTATAAGAAGAGACCGACTTTTTCAAAACAAAATGATCCCACAGTGTGCACAAAATTGATTAATTTCACGTTTAATTTCAATGAATCACTATACTACGCAGGGGCGGATCTAGGATTTACTCGAGGGGGCGGATTTTCAAAAAAATTTCGAAAACATTGACGACCTTTTTTTTTCAGGTCGCCCAAATTGATTTCCGAGCTCTCCTTGAGCACTAAAAAGACGCCGTTTTGGCCAAATTTTCTGCGCCGCAGGCATATTTTTGAAAAAACAGGTCCGTTTTTGGGCACTTTTTTGAAAAGGTTGACAAAAAAATTGCGTTCTTTTGGCGCGCGCTCCCCCTCAAAGAAGTTAGTATATATTGGCGCCAAAGGTGCCCTTGGAAAAATTTTAGGGTCGGTCGGCCAAAAATGGATTTCTTAAAAAGTACCAAAGAGGGACCCTTTGGGTCGGCAGGGGGCCGAATTCCTGAGGAAAGAAGCATTCGCGTTAAAAGTTTTTTTTTCATGCAGACTGAAGAATCTGGAAGAAGTTAAACGTGGCCGGGACGACCGATGGTACACTGTGCACTACCCCACGTCTGGCTCCGGGATTGGACCAGCTGAGATTGTGTTCCGGAGGAAAGTGAGGGGGGCGTTTTATCAGAAGATGGAGTTGCAACACTTCCCAGTGGACGTGCAGGCAATCAGTGTGCAAGTTAGCACTGATTTTGACAGGAGTGAAATCACACTCAAGGAAGACGACCAGGTAGTGTACAATAAATCACTCGATGAAGCTCTCTTCCTTTATCTAGAATTTGGTTCAACTGGACTCGCTAGCTCCAGATCCAGAGTAAAGTCAAGTATTTGTTTAACCGGAACAGAAAAAAAACTATCTACTCATGATGAAAAAAAGTTCACAACTTCAAAAAAAAGATCTGCACTCATTGTTGTGTAGTTCCTATTTATGAAATTAGCAAATCATTGATTGTTTTTTATCGGGATTTTTTGCGGCGCGATTTTTTTAAAACCAAATTCGATGATAGATTTTTAAAACTGAAAGACAAAAATTTTTTTTTCATTATTGTTTTTTCGCCTTCTGAGTAGATACGGAATGTTATTCTTTTCAAAATAAAACAATAGAAGACAATATACAGCAAGAAAAAATAGGCCAGCAATAACATTTTGCTTGAAGATTTCGATGATCAAAATTACAATTTTTGATCATCGAATTACAGTTTTTAACTTTCATCCACAAAATGGTGCGACCTCAGGCTTGGCGCTTTTGTTGTCACTTGAAGTTAACTCGAACATAATTAAAATTGATGTTGTAAATACTTTTCAAGTTTTTCTGTTTTTTAATAGCTTTTTTCTATTTTAATCTGATCATCCATGCAATATGATCTTGACACTAATCCTGCCAAAATTAGTAATAAACCAAGAGATCAGCCAATGTTTAACCTGGATGAAAAATTCATTCTAGGCTTAACATTAGTTCTTTCATAATTCTTTTTTCGGGCACGAGCGGGAGCGACAAATTTTTTGAAAAGATCTCTGAAATGGAGGATGACCACGCAAAAAATCCTTATGGACCTGTTAGTTTTTCAGAACTGTTCCATCATCTTCTGCGAGGCGTTCAGAAATGACCAGGAGTGGAAAATGTTCGAACATGTGCAGATCAAAGAATCATCTGGATCTAACATCGGCAACAAGGTATCAAAAATATCCGATCTAATTTTTTAGCTAATTCAAGTCACTTTATGGGAAAACACCTGCTATAAATAGTTCAGCTTACCCCATATCAATCTTCATCTTTTCTTTATCTTCAGCACCCAACGGTCTCAAGTTTTCGTGAAGCAGAAGATCTAATTGGTTTATTTATACATAAAATTTTAATTAATACGAACTTTGTTCTATTGGAACCAGATCTAAATTAGTATTTATCATTGGTTATTATTATGATATTTTATCTCTATAAAATATTAAATACTAACCAATCATACTCCATCAAACTAACAACCCACTTATTTTTAAGTGTTGAAACTACTTGTAGTTTCAACACCAGAACAATTTGAATTAAACTTAGAATACAGTTGTTCTCATTCTGGAACTAACTCGCGCAAACCGGTGTACACTAGATCTATTGAGACCAGGAGATATAGGAGTAAGATTAAGATCGGTATTAGACTAAGAAGTTGCACGAATCTCTCCGGCCGAAAATAAGATAGCGTGACGAGCAGACGGTGTACCCTATCTAAAATTACTCTATAAGTACAGTACAAGATACATAACTCACTATCTATTACAATGTAGTTTGCAGCCGTTTTTTGGGCTAGTTTCATGGACTAGTTTTGCCTGGTCCACAATTCGCTCGAACGCTATCCTGCATATCAGCGTTTGCGATGTTTCAGAAGTCCTCGCTGGTGGCAAAATCCTCGTTGGTGGCGGACAAGGCAATGAATTACCCCACCCCCACCATCAAGGCGGTGTTGCACGTGGGCAGGAAGCAGGGCTACTTCTTCTGGAATGTCTACCTAATCCTCACCTTCATCACTCTTCTCTCCTTCTGTGGATTTGCAATCCCAAACCACCTGCCCAACTTCAGAATAGGCATGTAGAACATCCCTTCACACTTTTGGGCAATAACAAAACTTTGCTGCAGCTGTAACATACCTTGCTCTCCTTTCTACATGTTGTAAACATACCTGTTGTTCGTTTGCCAGTAATTCTCCGAACACTTGTTCTTAGAAAAAATAATGAGATACAACCAAATATGTTATTTGGGAAAAGTACGAACAAAAATGAAGGATTCGAACCCATCGCCACCCAAACGATCGCTTCAAACGATACAGTCTAGTTTTTCTTTTTATGTTAAATTTCTGATCAGAATCTTTCAAAAAGATGCCAGAAACGTTGACGCAGGAATTTCTTCTTGAAATAGGATCTTTATAGTGTTTTAGGAGAGCTGGGAAAATCAACTTAGTCGATCTAAAAAAGTTAGGTCCTAAAATGTTACGTCCAATAAAGTTTTAAATCCGCCCTCAAAAATCCCACCACCTCGAGAAAATCTTAGATCCGCCACTGTATTCTAGGTACCACCCTCACTCTCCTTCTAACATCAGTGACATTCAAACTGACAATCTCGGGCCACCTGCCGACTATATCCTATCTGACGTTCCTGGACAAGTACAGCTTCATGACCATCTCTTTCTTAAGCCTACTTACCATTGTGTTCGCATGTCTCGCTTTTATGATTGGATCCGAGTGGCATCGTTACTGCGCCCTCGCTGACCAAATCAGTTTCTCATTTCTGTTTTTATCTGTTCTTGCATTTCACATTTACTATTATAACGTAATCAGTCGTGTTAAACACAGAAAATCAACCGAAATGGAACATCTTGATTGTTTGTACCAACTGAGTCTGTCCAAAAATATAACCAGTAAACACGTCCAGGTGTTGACGATGAAGAACCTTCTATCCAGTAGAACCAGTCTGCATCAAAATACGAGTAATTATAGCCCCAATCACCACCCACATTTTTACTCTGGCTTAATGAGTCACATGGGTGGGGGACATGGAGCAGGGCGCCACCCTTCGAGTCTCAACCTGGTCCACAATCAGCTTGAAGCGAAGTATTGGAAACATCAGATCTCAGAATTCGACGCATAAGAACAAAAATGAATTCCCCAAATAACTCAAATGCTTAGCCAATTTTTAGTACCAGAAGCACTCACTTTATTTATGCATACAGTAGAAAATGAGTTTATTCAAAGTCAGATATTTTTTTAAGAGCTCGGACAAAAGCGATTCGAGGGCACAAAATCTTATTAGATTGAATTTATTTTTAGAATTTTTTGTCACGATGAATAAATTTACGTTAGATTAAAAATAGTTCTATTTGCTTCACAATAATGTCGGCTACACGGGCTGAAGTTCTCGACTCATGATTCGACCGAAACGGCTTCGACTTTTAAGTCGAACGATGTCCGTTTTCGACTTTTTGAGTCCAATGATGTTCTTTTCCGACTTTGATTGATTTTACCGGACATTATTCGACTTGCTCGACTTTGTCCGATTTTACTGAACATTGTTTGACATTGAACGAACTTCTTTGAATTTACCGGACATTGTTATGTGTATGGTATATATTATCAAATTTGGCAATATTTTGAACGCCCCTCTGTTTTTGTTAAAACACAAAAAAAAAACAGACTATCATAAGCTTGTTGAGGTTTATTGATAGCTCCTTTGCCATTCACAGGAACCAGAATTAATCATGGCTAAATTTTTTTTTTTTTTCAACAATGCTTTCTAGCCATTACTTTGTTGGCAAGATAACTTTGTTACTTCCTAAGAGCTTGGCTTTATATCCAGAAAAATTATCACAGATACTCTGTCAAAAAATATTTCTCAATCTTTGGGACTCAAGGTCTTGTCAAGATATAAAGTTATCATGGCATATGAAAATTTTTGTAAGATATAAGATTTTGTCAAGATATCCTATTGATTAGAAAACCAATTAATGCATTCAAATAAGCTAATTTATAAACACAAAAAAAACAGACTATCATAAGCTTGTTGAGGCCTATTGATAGCTCAATTACCATTCGCAGGAACCAGAATTAATGTTTTGAGCATTAAGAAAATTGCCAAAATCATGGCTAAATTTGATTTTTTTTTCAACAATGCTTTCTAGCCATTACTTTGTTGGCAAGATAACCTTGTTACTTGCTAAGAGCTTGGCTTTATATCCAGAAAAATTATCACAGATACTCTGTCAAAAAATATTTCTCAATCTTTGGGACTCAAGGTCTTGTCAAGATATAAAGTTATCATGGCATATGAAATTTTTTGTAAGATATAAGACTTTGTCAAGATATCCTATTGATTAGAAAACCAATTAATGCATTCAAATAAGCTAATTTATAAACAAAAAAAAACAGACTATCATAAGCTTGTTGAGGCCTATTGATAGCTCCTTTACCATTCGCAGGAACCAGAATTAATGTTTTGAGCATTAAGAAAATTGACAAGATCATGGCTAAGTTTTTTTTTTTTTTCAACAATGCTTTCTAGCCATTACTTTGTTGGCAAGACAACTTTGTTACTTGCTATGAGCTTGGCTTTATATCCAGAATAATTATCACAGATACTCTGTCAAAAAAAAATTCGCAATCTTTGGGAATCATGGTCTTGTCAAGATATAAAGTTATCATGGCATATGAAAACTTTTGTAAGATATAAGACTTTGTCAAGATATCCTATTGATTAGAAAACCAATTAAAGCATTCAAATAAGCTAACTTATAATTAATGTCATTTTTCAAATAATTATTTTCAGCCAAATAATTAGTTTTTGGCAATTTGAAATTTTTTTGGGCAATTTTTGGGTCTCGTATACTTGTCAAACTGATCAGATTATTTAATATCCCGAAATGATCTTGCATGATTTTGCATTATCGAAACACGTAAGTTTTGTATTGCTGTTCAACTTTCTAAGAAAAAAGTGACGGAATGTATTATGCTCGGGGTGGCTTTTTCTGCGGACAAAATTGGACTTTCAACTAGCCAATTTTGACGGATTCTTTCATATTAACTGAAAAGTAATGTTGTATGTGGTCCAAACTTAGAAAATTTCTCCTTTGATGACTTTTGAGTTATGGAGGTATTAAGTTTGCCATTTTGGCCAATATGGGACAAATTACGCGCGATATATTTCGCCCTGATAACGCGTAAGCGGAAATTCAATCCGTCTTAGAGATTTTTCCAAATTGGTTGAAGCAGGCTTTTTGCCATATTTGCTTATTTCTTAGGAGCAAAATCTATCACTTTGCTTTTTATATGGCGCGAGGATAATTTTTATCTCAGAATTTTTCATTTGGTTATGAAAAATTCATCAGGTTTTATAAAACGAACACTGGTTAATAGACCTTGAAAAGCCAAATAAAAACCAAATGTCTCAAAACTGTTGATTTGAATAAAAATTTAGAAAAAAGAACCTGAGCTAGGTGAATTTTTGGCCTAAATATCTCAAACTAACAATTTTCAATTCACTGTAATTATTTTAAAAGGTCGTCTTAATTGATTTTTTTTCACATGTAATGCTCAGCACCAGGGGCGGATCTAAGATTTTCTCGAAAGAGGAAGGGCGAATTTTTTTTAGTTTTACCATAATGATTTTCTGAGCTCTCCCAAATCATTATAAAAACCACATTCTGACCAAACTCTCTGCGGCAAAGGCAAAATTTTGAAGAAACAAGCCAAGAAAAGCGCTTTTAGGCACTCTTTGGAAAATTTTAAATAAAAAAGTTGCCTTTTCTCGGCGCGTGATCCCCCCTCAAAATAAGTCTATTTTGGCGCTGAAGGCGTCTTTACACTTTAGAAATTTTTTTGGGTCAATCAGCCAAAAATGGATATCTCAAAATAGTACAAAGGGGAATCCTTTGGGACGGCAGGGGGTCAAATCCCTGAGGGGGGAGGAGAGCGTCCGCCCGCGCCCCCTTCCCTAAATCCACTGGTGCTCAGAACATATTGATCTTTTTTGTTTGGTAAAAAACTAGCAGTATTATTTTGTACATTTGAAATCCAATAAGCTGAAATTATTGCGCAAATCTAGCAAACCAGAAAAAACTGTTATTCATCATTGAAGCTCTCAATTCCGTAGGAGCTGTTCGTCGGAAGAAACCTGACTTACTCCTCGCTTACCATTATTTGAATCTATTGATTTGGCCTCTCAAAAGATGAAAACGAAAACTACTATATATGCTAGTAATCTGTAAAACGTTTGCTGTTTTGGCACTTAAAACAGCTAACAAAATAGCTTCAAATCGTGCTTTGTTATGTAATATGCACCAAATTTTACATATCACCAGTATAGAAAAGTACACTTTCGTGTAAAAAAAATTCAAGCCACCACGTTTTTGACAGATATCATCCAAAAGGGTTAATGATTTACGAACAGTCTTATTGTTGTTAAAGTACATAAGCTTCTAAAGTTACGTAAATGTAGTTTTTACGAAAAGTTAAATTGAGTTTGCTAAACGTAATTTATAATTATGTACACCAACTGTAAATATTGTCCATCAGCATCGGATAAATATTGGCTTTGTCAAAAACATGGACTTCGCCAGCGCCGAAGTTGCCGTATTCGGGACTGCGGGTGTCGAGTTTCGCTTCAGCCACGTGACCTGTACTCAAAGGTCAACAAAGGTCATCTACTTGATTGCGGCAGAGGTGAAGTGATTTCGCCCAAAACAATGAAGGATATCACGCACTTCAAGACAAATCTGCTGACGTCGACTACGCCCATTAGGCCGACAAACAAAGGGACGACCATTAATTCGACGGCACAGCAACAGCTGAAAGAGCGAGTTAGGAGTATCGAGGAAACTTTAGGTAAGCAATAGCTGATGTAAATTTTTCTTTGTTAGGAATATTTTTACTTTTTTAAGGTTTAATTTATAAATCTCGTTATTTCAGCGCCAGAAAAATTTCAGCACCAAACCTTTTTGAAATACTTTGAATTCCATTGATTTCTTTTATGTATTTTTAATTATCAAAAGCATAAACAACAGTTTGAACTACAAATTTTGTATAAAAACATAATACCTTTGACAATGTTTGTAAAAATGAACATTTTCAAGTAATTGTTTCGATTATATTATAGAAAAGTACGGGAAGAAAGATGGTTTCAGAGGGTTGCAAGGGACAAAAGAATATTCAGACTACTCTTCAACTACCGGATGTCCAGCCTGTCCAGTTCGGATCACCTGCGATAATAAACTGCACTCCCCTACGTCAAGGCATAAAAAATATCACAGTCATAGACCAGCAAGTCGTGTTCAGCACGGAAGTCCATCGAGATATTCAAGTGGGACAGTTAATGGATACGAACCGCTACGAGGAAGATCTCGATCTAGAAAGTTCCAAGCTTATGACGACGACGATGAGGAGATAGCAGATCTCTTTCGCGAGTTGGAGGAGTTAGGCTTAAGCGGTAAACAAAATTTCAGCTACCATAACCTTTGAAAATTTGTTCATACAGTTTTTGGATGAGTTTTCGGGCTATACATTTTTCGAGCTATTTAAACAATTTTCGAGCCATACAAAATGTAAACTTATTTGTTCCAGTTTTTTCTTTTTTGCATACCAAATGTTCTATATTTTTGAGTGCGTATATCTATTTTTGAGTTTTATAATATTTTCAACTTGAAAGAAAACAGTAGAAATTATGAACCGATTCAGCGAGGAATTGAGTCTTTTCGAAGCTTTGGTTGTTAAACAAAATACTTTCTCCTAGAATCAAGAGTTTTCATTTGCAGGAAATGGCAGCTTCAGAAGAAATAAACCAAGAGACCCGTTTTTGAGTCTGAAGGCTGGGGACCTCAGCAAAACATGCACCTCGTCTGATCACAGTCTTCCTAGGATGTTCAGGTTGTTCATGGTTTCTCATTTTCCCACATGAGGACATAAAAGATGACTTTTTTCAGGATTGTTTAATTCCAGGTATTAAAAACAAAAACAGACATGATATATTGAATACAAATGAAAATATACAACTTAGTCACCCGCTGCTTCGCAAAAAGTTCAACCACACTCTTTTCAATGCTCATTAAAAGGCACATAAAGAGACTTTTTAAAATATTATCTTAAGGTAGACGGCATTGCAAGTTCGCAAGAAGTATTTAGTTTGTTTTTCAGGTGCCAAGGATGTGGTGATATGCAGAATATATTCACGCCTTACAATAATCAAAACCTCTCCAATCTAGATCACCAAAAATACCCCTTTCTACCACTCGGGCTCCAGCCATACGTGGACATTCTGGACCCAAGTAAAAAGGGGAAAACGTTGGACCCCGATACTACTGCTAAATTGTATGCTGCTAACGTAGCCGCTTGGCCTTGGAATAGCCCCAATAACAGGTACTACATGCCGTACCAGCCGTTCTCGGGAGGAGTGCCCTGGGGTCCGTTTGGGTTTCCAAATATGGATATCACCAAAGATGAGAGGCTGAACAAAATACTTGAGAAGCTGAGTGAGAAGTTAGAGGACAAGGACAAAAGCGGAGGAGGGAGACCCAGGAGTAGATCGATTGGGACCCAGTCAGTTGAAGATATGCGATTTGATAAAAGTATCGAAGGTTTGAAACTCAAGTGAACTTTTTCGTAACTTTCAATTTTGATCTTATGCGAGCCATGAACTTAGAAGCTAAAGAATGGCTGGGAAAAAGCAAAAAAAAAATTGTGAAATTAAAAAAAAACAAGATATTGGGAAGGTATTGATGAGCAAAATAATTGACAAGAAATCCACCTCAGAAACATGGATGATTTTGAATTTTCAATAGCTGAAAACTTTTGTTAATGAAAACTTGGATGATTGAAACTTAAAAACTCAGTAAAAATGGGTCATCAAGGTTTTTTTTCTAAGCTGGCTTAAATTATTTGGGATTTTTGATTGTTTGCTGATACTTGAAGTGTTTAGAAGAGGAGGAGCTGTTGATGGAAGAGGGAACTCAAGGGGGCCTGCAGAGTGCTGTACCCAATGATGAACTCAAGTTAAACTGGGATCAGACGCCAGATGACAATAATCGAATGGAGGACTTCGTAAGTTATCAGTTGTCGCAGTGGTCTGTTGTCAGTGGTCGCAACTTCAAACTAAATTTAAGAAAATCGTGCTCAAAATCAAAGTCCTTTTCAAGCTCAATTCCCATCAAACAAGGAGTTCATTAGCGGTCAAAATTTTCTCGGAAACCATAAGAATGACCTTTTAAAACGTAAGGTATCCGCCCTTTGCTCAGTAAAAACTCAGTAAAAACTGTTACTCCACATTTTCTTAGAACTGTTTATGTCATTGACATGTTGCCTTCGTTTCCTTAAACATAATTGGAGATCTTTTAATAAGCTTACCAAGTTCGACAAATCGTTTCGTTACTCCTGTTTGAAAGTTTGAAAGGTCAGGTTTCTTTCTTTTTTGTCAAATGTAATTTTTTTTGCGTAGTATCGGCTCATCCAGATGTATCGCTGGGGGGGGGGGGGGGGGTTTAAGAATTGGGGCTGGTTCATGAGTGCCAAAGTACAAAATGTCAAAACCGAAACGATAACTATTTGTGAATTTAGAAGATGAAAACTGGACCAACAGAGCTTTTTGTTTAGAATGAAAGAATGAAATTACAGAATGATCACAGAAAGAGTATATGAAAAAAGAGTATAAGAGAGTATATATTCACAAAAAAAAGAGTTAAAAGTGTATATGACTACAGAACTAGATCAAAATTAATATTGTAAGTTACTTATAAAACATTAAATCGAAAAAGTATATGTTTGAATGCATAAATTATACAACTGTGGCATTAATAATCTGATTTGTGGTTGAATAACCGGTATTTACTCAACCAAAAACTAATTTAAGTCTGCAAACCAAGTTCACACAATTTGCACGCAATTTGCACGGCAAAAAGTACATTTAGCGGGGTAACTGTTTGCCACCAAATGTTTTGAATTCGGAAATCTAAGTGGTTTGAATCAAGTAATAAATTACAAAAAAAAACATGATATGTTTAATTACAAACTTTATAAAAGCTATACAACCATTTTCTCATACACTATTTTTTCGCAAACATGTTGGAGCTTATTAGCATGAGGTTGATTTCATCGCAAAGCAACAGTGAACTTCAATGTTTTTTAATACGCCGGATTCGTATCAACGGAAAAATTTATTCAAAACTTTGATTTTGGAAAATGATAATTTTCCCTAATAAAAGCAGCAAAATAATTTTTAAATTAGAAAACAGATAAATCATGAGTGCGCGCATCAGAGTGAAATGTTTGGATCGTCGGATAAAGTGTCTAAAGTTGCTTCGGAAAAACTATTTTAAATAATTGAAAATTGAAAAGTTTTCCCCGAAGCTCAATGATGGCGAGTACAAACTAAATTGTTTGCATGTACAAACTTATCAAAAAGACCAAACACTCTGCCTCATTTCAGTTTGAAGTTAGTATGTGTCAATAAACATAATTAAGACATTAGTATAAGAACGCAGTGATAATTTGTTTTCAGGAAAAAACACTACGAGTTGATCGTGCTGAAACTTGATTTTTCATGTTTCGATTTTCCTTCTCCTGTTCATTTGATTAAAAGAAGACAAAGTACGCTCTTTAATTACAAAAGTCAAATTCACCATAAAATTGTGAATGATTTTTATTTTAGTTTCGATTTATAGATTACCAAGCGTGTAGAATTGGTGATTGTACTGTATTACATGCTATAGTAACCTGAGCGTAAGATTGATTCCTCATTAAGTTAAGCAGTAGAGCAAACAAAGGGTAAAGTTCGAAATAGTTCAATCTTCGAAGATATCGTCCCTCCTATGCCAGAAAATAAAATTTGACAAAATTGGCGAACCCCTCCCCCCTCAAATTGGAACTAAGAAAGCTAATGTTATGAAAATCAGAGGAGCGATACTAGAGATGATTTGACCCGGGCATACAAAAATCGGGACCCGTCAGACCCTCGGGGGGCAAGTGATAACGGTCCCCGGAAGTGTAAATGGCCCTATCAGAACTCGGAAACTAGCGGCGCTGTTGGGCTCAAATTCTAGTTGGTTGTAGGCCTAGTTAAGGGGAGCTTAAGTTTGGAAACCCAGACCCCTCAGACCCCCACTTCCGGTTTTATGCCCAAAGTAAACAAACCCACCCCTAACTTGCGGAAGTCATTTCTCGGCCACCGATGAGCACAGGGAGCTGAAACTTGGAGAGATGATAGGTAGTGACAAGATACATCTTGTATTATAATTTGAACCAAATCTGGCGGTTGGACCGGAAGTTATTAGCACTTTGGAAAACCACCTCTTAAACCGGAAATAGGCAATTTACGCAAAATATTGAGCGAGGGCATACCGATTTTATGGCGGGATCAGATACTACAACTCATTCCCGAAAAAAAAGACCCTCAGTGATTGAAACCCTTCCGGCAACTCCTTTCGGTGTTAATAGCCTTTTAACGGGAAAAATGATAATGGACCCTTGAAATGGGATGACTTTGGAAGTATTAACCGGATATGAATGAAACTTGGTAGTTCAGTCCCCCATGATATTCTGAACCCAAATATGGAAATTTGACCACGGTTGACCCCTGGGTGACCTTAAGTTGACCTTTGGGCTTTTTGACCCCAAAATTGCATGGAAAACCCCGAGATTAATACCGGAAAGTGGCGTATTTCCCAGCCCAACCGCTGGAAATGAGAATGGGTCACCTTGCTAAAATTGGGGGAGAAACTTATATATTGGGAACTAGAGCAGAAGCTGATAGAGATACAGCTTTTATATTGCAATCTTGGAGTAGAGGATTTAATTCAAAGTGGACTTGATAAACATTGTTTCAGTTTAGCTTGGCGAGTGATCTATTAATAGCAATTCAACTAGACTAAAGAAAAGTAGTCCCAGAGGAAATTGATAATAATAGGACCGTAGCATGAGAATTAGGTCTCCTAGATACTATGAACAGACGGGAAATTTACTTGGCTCTCCGGAGGTGACTTTTTGGTTTAATTTGACCCCTAATAGACAAACTATATTCCCCTGATAGCTAGAAGGTCGGGATTGGAATAGAGTACAGATAGAAATTTTAGATGGTTGACACCTCTTAAACCGGAAATAGGCAATTTACGCAAAATATTGAGCGAGGGCATACCGATTTTATGGCGGGATCAGATACTACAACTCATTCCCGAAAAAAAGACCCGCAGTGATTGAAACCCCTCCGGCAACTCCTTTCGGTGTTAATAGCCTTTTAACGGGAAAAGTGATAATGGACCCTTGAAATGGGATGACTTTGGAAGTATTAACGGGATATGAATGAAACTTGGTAGTTCAGTCCCCCATGGGATTCTGAACCCAAATATTGAAGTTTGACCCCGGTTGACCCCTGGGTGACCTTAAGTTGACTTTTGGGCTTTTTGACCCCAAAATTGCATGGAGAACCCCGAGATTAATACCGGAAAGTGGCGTATTTCCCAGCCCAACCGCTGGAAATGAGAATGGGTCACCTTGCTAAAAGTGGGGGAGAAACTCATATATTGGGAATTAGAGCAGAAGCTGATAGAGATATAGCTTTTATATTGCAATCTTGGAGTAGAAGATTTAATTCAAAGTGGACATGGTAAACATTGGGTTCAGTTTAGCTTGGCGAGTGATCTATTACTAGCAATTCAACTAGACTAAAGAAAAGTAGTCCCGGAGGAAATTGATAGTAATAGGACCGTAGCATGAGAATTAGGTCTCCTAGATACTATGAACAGACGGGAAATTTACTTGGCTCTCCGGAGGTGACTTTTTGGTTTAATTTGACCCCTAATAGACGAACTATATTCCCCTGATAGCTAGAAGGTCGGGATTGGAATAGAGTACAGATAGAAATTTTAGATGCTTGGAATGAATTAGCTACCCATAAGAGGGTCTCCCCCTACCCTTGGGAGGTCGGAACGTTAACGGAATAGTTAAAATAAAGACCTTGGGAGGATCACTGGGTAAATATAGCATGGTTTGGAGGTTGAGCTGAACTCGAAAGCTGAAATTGACAGAGTTCAGGAATTGGTTGATTAGAATTTTATGACATTTGTTTGCTTGGTCAAATTGTGACAGCTACCGCATACCGGGTATCTAATAAGCCTGAAAAGATTGATAAAAGAAACCGAAGTTGGCACGTGGCAGAGTTGACAGGGGTACGGATATAGTCCTAAGCATGTGCGGACGGGAGATTTAGGCGGATGTCAGAACTGATAGGAAATGGCGTGACATAAGTAAAACTAAGTGTAAATAAAGATAAGGAATTGGAGGGTACCGGAGAGCCTGTAAAAGTCAGAACAGTGTTAGCTACCATTAAGAGTAGTTGGTTCTCAATCAGAGAAGAGAATAATTATTGCTAGTGAGCGAGTTGCGCTGGAACCCGAGTTAAGTACCGGGTTGAAATAGTTGTGCGAGCGAGTTGCACTGGAACCCGAGTTTAGTACTGAGTTGAATTAGTTGTGTCGCTGCTCTGCTAGAGTAGGCGAGTTTTGAATCGAGTCAATCGAAAACTGATGAGCGATTGAAAAGAACGGGGGAAGCGGGCTTCAATATAGAAGTTGCTAATTAGTAGTTAGCTCATTAAGGGCACTGTAAATTTTTTTTATTTCCTTTGCGATTGAGAATTTACTCATTGTGCCCACGATTTGCTGAACTAGCTAGAAGCGTAAAAGGAGAGCAGAAAAGATCAGAAATTAAGGGGGAAGTTGCGTAATCCTTTGATCGGCCGAGTTAGTCTAACCACCAACATAACCCTTTCGGGATTGTGGATCATATCGTGTCTTGGTGTCCCCCACTATTACACGGTATAAAGTGGAGAAACTCTGCGGCCGTTAAGTAGAGTGAAAGCGTGCTTAGAGGAGACGACTCCCCGGAAAAAGAATCTACGAAGCGGTACAAAAACATTACTTATTGACTCAGTTTTCTCTAATTGGGTTATTTTATTACAGTGAAGTCGATCATAAAAGATTCTTGAAATGGAAAAAGCTTGAAACTTTAACCAAAAAAAAAAAACATTTTTTTGTTTTTTATAAATTCCTTCTCCTTTGTCTAAATTTAAGATGACTTTTTTCTGAGAGGGAATAAGTTACCGCTTCTCGCAACCGATAAGTTTCACAACCGATCACTTTTTGCACATTTATGATGGTTAAAAATTGGTAGCCAAACTACCAATTTTTAACCATCATAAAATTGCAAAAAGTGATCGGTTGTGAAACTTTTGTTTTATTTGGAGCTCAAGACATAACTATTTTCCAGTAAGTAAAAAAAAATGCTCTAAAAACTATTTATTTAATCGAAATTATTCCAGAATAAAACCTCGAGCACAAGCATTCCGTCACTTTCTTCAAAAATCAGAACAAAAGCTAATTTATCAGAGTAATTGTTCTGAACGTTTTTTTGGTCTTGAACGAGTTCTATTATTTGCGGCTTTCTTGTACTTCGGTGCTCTTCTAAAAGAAGGTCGTGTCAAAATTCCCGAATATTTGGTTGATATTCTTATTTCCGATTTCCCGATTCAGAAACCCGATATTCGACATCTAAAATGGGCGCTAATGGACTTTTTGAATTGGAATCCCAGTAAGGGTGACATTTTGTTTTGGCACTAACTGCTGACACTGTACTGATTGACATCAAATCATTGCAAAACTTCCGAATCCGGAATCTGATAAAAGTTTGGTGTGACATCTAATTTCGGCTCTCATACCGGAAAATAGAATTGGTCTAAATTGAACTTCGGAATCGACAAATTAGTTTACTGTGTGACCTCTAACAGAATTCGATAATCGCATTTAATACAAATACTGTTATACACCAGCTGATTTAGTGGGGGGAGGAGGGTTAGGGTTACTAATTTGTACTTTGTTCTAAATTGATATACCCATTTTTGGCTAACGGACCCTAAAACTTTTCTAAAGGCGCCTTCGACGCCAACATTTACTATCTTTGAGGTAGAAGCGCGCGCCAAAAAAAACGAACAAAAAAGTCGACAAAATCTTGGAAATTGTTTTGAGAATCCGCCCTCACCCCCTCGTAAGAAACCTCCTAGATCCACCCTGATCTTATGTGAACTAAACTTTGATTCTTCAGTTGAATTTTTGGCCAAGTTGTTGGCCGACAAACCGATTAGTGTGAAAATGAAAAGATCCTAATTAGATATTTTTAATGTATTCCAATCAATTCTAGCGTTGCTACAATTGGACAGTTGTAGTAGACTGTTTTTGGTTAAATTGGTACAATAGTGTTGTACAACAACTTGTGAGGACGTGTTGTTTTGTGTCCAGATGTCTGGTCTCCCCAAGACTGCCCTGGAGCTACGCGAGATGGAGTTGAGTGCATGGGCCGCTTCCAAGTGGTGGGGCATGGTCAAGAAACGGAGGGAACTGCGCAAACATTACGGTCAGTTTTTTTAAATCAATCTCATATCTGTCAAAACATATTCGATTATATTTTAAAGAAACACGTTTTTAGATTCTTTAGGTCGTGTTTCCAGAAACAGCAGGGTAAGCATTTCAAATGGACAGTTTTCAAGTCCATATCAGGGTAAATAAAAGATACGGGTTGTTTCTGAACCTTTTTTGTTCAAGGCAAACTTGGTAAATATTTTATACACGCAATTTGTGGCATAGTCCTATGTCTCAGTTTTTAATGAATCAATTTCAGCAATCAATTTTTGATTCTTGCAGGCTTCGACCATGATGGCGACGAAGAATTCTGCCAAGTAGAGCTGCGAAATCGCGACACCCTGCAATCGGCTCCAGAGGAGCTGGACTTATCAGACTCGAACCCAGAGCAACCTGATGGAACGTATGAGAATGCCAAGAGACATCCAGGAAAGGATTCTGCTCCAATGAAGATTCCCAAGGGGTTCGACAGTTTCAAGCAGCTGTCAGCAGCTGCCAAGGCCTCCTATAAATGGTCGCAGTTCATTGAGAAACGAAAAAGTTCCAGGAAACGAAAGGAGGGCAAAAAGTAAAATTTTACTAACACAAATACAAAGAGTGAATTATATTTTCACGAAATAATTCTAATCATGATTTTGTAAGTGAAATTAATAGTTTTCTATTTTTTCAACCCGCCGTCAAAGTTATAATTTTAATACTATAAAATTAATACTTTAAAATTTAATTGAACCTATTGCTTTCCACTGACACTGCCATGATCTGAAGTTTTATATTCAATAACAAATATTGACAAAAACTAGCAAACATTCAGACAACAACTTTAAATAGCCTAATAACTAAAGAAAATAAATTAGTTTCCAAGTATCTTCACACAAATACTCTAAGTAGAACGTCAAAAGCGTTTAGCCTGTTGAGTAACGGTCACAATACACCCCTGGCGTGTTGTGACAGCTGAAATTTTTCTTCTATTAAAACTGAAAAAGCGCTGCACATTTTATGAAAGAAAAGATTAGAACTGATGGAAAACTTGATAGTTCAGCCAAGGCCTGATTTTGGGGGGTGGGGAGGGGGGGGGGGAGGCGCGGGGAAGTGGACGCTTCTTCTCAGGGATTCGACACCCTCACCAACCAATGGGTCCCATTTGGTATTATTATACGAAATCCATTATCGGCCGACGAACCCTAAATTTTTGCAAAAAGTGTCTTTGGCGCCAAAATATACTAATTTTGACGGAAGGCGTGCGCCAAAACAGACAATTTTTCGGCAAATTTTTCCAAAAAGTGCCAGAAAACGGCAATTTTGAAGTTTTGCAAAAATTTGCCTGCTGCGCAAAAAGTGTTATCAAAGAAGGATCTTTATATTGTTCTGGGAGCGCTTGGATTTGAGGAAAATAAAAAGATCGACTTGATTTTCAAAAGCATGTTTGAAAATCCAGCCTCCCCTTCGAGAAATTCTTAGATCCAACCCCAAATTCAGTTGCAGTAGCAGATTTAGGGGCGGGTGAGGGAGACGGTTTTTTAAGGGATTCGACCCCCTGCCGACCCAAAGGGTCCCCCTTCGTACAATTTTGAGATATCCATTTTTGGCTCATTGACCCTACAAGGTTTCTAAAGGGCCTTTTGAAGTCAGCTTATACTAATTTTAAGGGGTGCGCGCGCCGAAAAAAAAAACACAATTTTTGGTCAATTTTTCAAAAAATGCCTAAAAACAGGGGCGGATTTAGGGGGGGGGGGTTGCGGACGCCTTTCCCTTCAGGGATTCGACCCCCTGCCGACCCAAAGGGTCCCCCTTTGATACTTTTTCAGAAATCCATTTTTGGCCGACCGACCCCAAAATTTTTCTAAAGGCGCCTTTGGCGCCAATATATACTAACTTTGAGGGGGAACGCGCGCCAAAAAAAACGCAATTTTTTTGTCAAAATTTTTCAAAAAGTGCCCAAAAACGGCTTTTTGACTGTTTTTTTTTTTTTTAAATTTGCCTGCGGCGCAGAAAATTTGGCCAAAATAGGGGCAAAACAGTGCTTTGGGAGAGCTCGAAAGTCAATTTGGTCGACCTAAAAAAAAAAAAAAAGGTCGTCAAAATTTTGGAAATTTTTTTGAAAATCCTGAAAATCCGCCCCCCCCTCGAGAAAATCTTAGATCCGCCCCTGCCTAAAAACGTCTTTTGATTGATTTTTCAACAATTGCCTGTAGAGGTAAAAACTTGGTCGAAATAGGGTTCCTCTAATGATTTAGGAGGTCTCAGAACAGAAAATCAATTTGGTTCGCCTCCCCCTTAGAAAATTCCAGATCCGCTCCTCCTCAGTTGTATGAAAATCTTGGCTTCGTAACAAATTGCGAGTGTTGGCATAATTGTCAGCTTAATAGTCCATCCATTAACTACGTTTTCTGATTGCAGACCAAATACTACTTATAGCTAGCAGCCCTAGTGATGGTGGTCGAACTATAATGTATCGGGTTGACCATATGTCAATATTTCTACAAAACATATATCAGTCGACAGTTGAATCGACAGGATCCAAAACAGAAGGTAATGTGAGTACAAGAGTCAACAGGTGTCGATATAGAAAACAAGAGTCGATACAGAAAAAAACACTGCAATAAAAATATCAAAACATGAGATGCCTGATCTTCATTTGGTTCACCTGAGTACACAAATATACTGCAAAAATGAAATGAAATTGATATCGAGATCATAACAAAACAAAAGTAAATTCCATCGTTAGGCGAAAAAAGCCGCATTCAACTAAATAGCGAATTTAAAACAATGTGCTCACTTTTTGATTGAAAAAATAATACACTTGAACTCTTTCACTGTTTTCAATGGTTTTTAAAATTTTAAAAGGTAACCAAATTAGATGCAATACCGATGGGACTCATGAATGTCAACCGAAAATGATCAGCTTAAAAATGATCAGTTTAAACAAGATCTGAGTTGACAATTTTCAACCAGAGTTGTCTAAAATTGATCAGAATTAAACAAGTATGTCCAAAATCTACCAAAAGTTAATCAAAAATTACCAAAATTGACAACAAGGGTTGGTAGTGGATGTTGTTCGACTTGGAATTTCGTCGTCAGAAATTGCTCGAGCCCACAACGTCGAGAGTGGATAAGAACCATTTCATACAGTGGGTACAAACATCGATCACCTCCACAACTAGCAAGAATATGCCCGTCCAGTTTTTCAAAATTCAAAGGTTTTGGTGTCTGTTAATGAAAAGTTACTTATTTGCTTAAAGTTGCAGTTTTCGTGCATTCTGACTGCTTAATTGCTCTGCAAACGCGTTCAAATATGCTTAAGTAAAAATTTTGAACCGACGCATCATTTTAAAATGCCATTACGAGGCCAAACTGTGCATTGGACCAGGTGCACAATTTTGTGTTTGTTTATTCTTGGATTCCTGAGACAAGTCTTTAAACGTGATAAAATTTTGTCAGAACGATCAAAGAGAAATAAAGGACAAAATAAGAACAAAGGGAGTATTTTTGTTGCGGAACCGGCTTGCAATTCACAAAATACACAGTTTGGCCTCGTATTGAAGGGGAAGCAGAATGCTGTACAGGTAACACAGAATAAAAAAATTTCACCTGATGCTCATTGAAACTTGGTTCATTATTGAAAGTTAAATTATTTAAAAATTTACAATTTTTATCAAATAGATTTTTGGTCTTTTTTCGTTTTTTTTTGTAATTGAAATTATTTGCTCTAAGAGATATATATGCGAGTTTAGCTGCGCGAATTCTGCAAATTTGAGGCTATTAAGTCAAAACGAAACTTACCGCATTGATAAAAAATCGAACTGTGCGACTAGCAACATTAATCTGCTGTACATCAAAAGGAAAAAATACGTTGAGATCGTTTTTATTTCGGGTTCAGATAAATTTTTCCCTAACAAAAATTTTATTTCGAAATTGACCAATTACCGCCTAAAACAATTTCAAAAAATTTACCTTTGAAAACTGTGATTACTGCGAGCCACTTGGAAATGTAGGAAGACCAGAACCACGACAACAGTACCTCTTACTGATTGAGAGGCGAATGTTTTTTGTTGGTGACATTAGTGAACTATTCGCTAAAATAGTAATAAAAATCCTGGAAAAAATTAGAAAGTACCGTACGAGATCTAAATTGTGTAAAAACATTGAAAAGATAACTCGAACCTCTTCACTGTAGCCAATGACTATTAAAAGGCTAAAATTAAAACAAATGAACAGCATCCTCGACGGGATTCATGAATGTTAATCAAAAATGATCAGCTCAAACTGATGAGTTTCGACAAAACCGACTAGAGTCAACCTGGGTTCTTAATTTTGAAACATGGTTGTCTAAAACTGCCCAGGAACAGGTAAAAATGACCAAATTCTACCAGAAAATGATCAAAGTTGGGCAAAAGTGACCACATGGGTTGATAATGGATATTGTTTGACTCACAAATTCATCACCGGAATTTTTTTGAACCACAACTTCGAGTTTCGATACAGATCGATTTTTACAGTGCATAAAAACTTCGACCACTTACCTTATCCGTAATAGAGGACTCGGATTGAGATAGTCAAATCTGCCTCAAAAGTTGGACTTATCGTTTGTTTTGTGTAGGCTAGGAAAAACCCCTTTGATGCTAAATCTTCAGGTTTAGCTCCAAAGTAATATATCAGATAAGTAGCAGGTTGCTGCACAAAAAAAAACATAAAATGATTAAACTTTTTTGATGCTCACAAAAATTAGGTATCTAAATCTTTACTAAAGTCAGTATCGAAAATTCCAATAACGAAACCTCAAACTTTTAAGAAAACGATTTTTTTTTCATGTAATATTATAATAAATGTAATAACTTCATATATCAAAAACGTTGGACAACTTTCAGATTATTAACATTACTATAAATCAACCAGAAAAAGAAAAGCTTAGGTCAATTTTTCTCGGGTTAACATGACTTTTTCCTTAAAGTTTTCTTCTTCAAATTTCTCCACTTATTGCCTGAAAAACATTCAAATTATTACTGTCTTTGAATCTTGTGATTTTGCATGCGAAGCACTTTGAATTGTAAGAAAAACTAAACTACGACAAAAAACTTCCTGAAGATTAAGAAGTGACTGTTTAATCTTTGTGACGTCATCAAGGCGCACCGTGGGAAAATAGCAACAGCTTGCTCCCTTGAGCTTACATTTGATACAGTTCTCAAGATGAGTTTAAATGAGTGAGTCTAATACTCTGTTCCTAAGACGGGCGACAAAAGATGGTATATAAGTCAACAATTGTCAAACACAGTCAACAAGGTTGATTTAGAAAAACTGCTGCCAATAAAAACATTAAAAAAGGAAAAACCTGATCACATTGTGTGTTACCTAAAAACAAAATATACCGAAAAATTGAATTTAAATTGGAACTGATATTCTTACAAATTAAAACTGAGTTCCTTCGTTAGGTAAAAAAAAAACTTCTTTCAAGTAAACTATAAATCCAAAAATCTGGATAAATCTTCATAATTTATCATAAAACTGCACACCTTTTGAAAAAAAAAGAAGTTTGAAAAACTTCAGAAAAATTTCTCGAGATCTAATTGATTCGAAGAATAGAAAAATTATTCTTGAATCCGTTCATTAGCCAAGATTTATTAACCGCTTAAAAATACGAAACCTCAAGGGAGAAGCAACGTCAA